TACATATATATATATATATATGTATACATATATATATATATATATATATATGTGCGTGTGTGTACATATATATATATATATGTATACATATATATATATGTATGTATACATATATATATATATGTATGTATACATATATATATATGTATGTATACATATATATGTATACATATATATATGTATATATATATGTATACATGTATATATTGTCATATATATATAACGCACCTCGAAGTAGCGAGGGAGTACTGTATAATGTCAAAATGTGTAGTGGTGTGTTGTATGTTTTGTTTTGCCCATAAAACAAAAAGTTAAAGTCTTCAGAAGGAAACCTAAAAACAAATAATTTACAAGATTTAAAAGAATGCAATGTCTGCGTCTTGTTTTTTTGGAAACAAGTGATCTGGGGAGTATTTTTTCTTACTTGCACGTATTTTCTTAACCCTATGATTTGTGAATTTCTTTGACAAGCTCTGAAACTGTGTTTAGTGACGGAGTGTCCGGTCATTACTGCTCGATTGGGGACTTTGAAGAGAAAGCAAGAGGTGCGTCAGTTCCTGACAGCTCTGCCCAGAGAAGACGTTGATGATGCTTTCAGCTCAGCTTACATGCAGAATAAACGCTTTGAGGTTTGTCTCCTTCAATTTATCTGTGACTATAATGCTACGATAAAAGACAGGGGGCTAACTCTTCCTTATGATCTGCTGGTGCTCAGATCCCTTCGCTGCGTTCGTGTGAGGAGCAGGACTTTGAGATGTCAGACCTGGACCCTCAGACCCCGAGGTCTTCACGTTTCCCCGAAGTGAAGACGCCTCAGAATTTGCATATCACTCCTGGGATGCTCAGTTCCCCCAACACGTAAGAACTTGACTTCTGCATCTGAGTTAGTTACAACTGACTGTAGGTAAATGTTTTTTTTTTTGTCTGTTTGTTTATAAAGAAAAAATGATGACAAATATGTCTATGAGCTGCAGAAGAAGATAAAAAAGAATCAGTTTAATGTCTGCAGGACCACACGTTCTACAAAGGTAAAGACTTCTCAAGAGTTTATTATTTTTGACATTCAGGTGTAAATCACATGGAGATGCCTCCTTTGTTTCTTTCAGAGGTTCATAGCCACACCGTCCGTTAAAAGAACAGTTCAGAGATGTGGTAACACAGGTGGGTGTCCTAACGAGTTTATTGTTGCACCGCAGCTGATCAGATTTACAGGATGGACAAAATGTTTGTTTCCACAGCGATAACCCTTGAACCCAATTTTCTAGCATGAACTTTATTAATGCCAACGTCTTTCTTTCTTTATTAGAAAACGATATATTTTTCATTCGTGAGATGTTCCCTGCAAACAGCGGAGAGCTGTCTGACAGCAAAGAGGAAGAAGACTTCTACTTCTCAGACCACTGATTGGATTAGAGGCTCAAATGGCTTTTTTTTTTTTTTTTTTAATTAAATTGCTTATATGAATTGAAATAGGAAGAACAGACTGAAATGAAAACGGTAAATATTCACTGTTTTTAACATTTTTTTTTTTGTTTTTTTTTCTTTTTTTTTTTTAATAATTTTGGGGGTTTCTAAGAATATGTGCCCAGTTTAAAAAAAAATAAAACTTTTTATTTTATTTATTTTTTGGATGTACTTATGCTGTAAACCTCCATTAAGTCTTTTTGTAAATATAAATTTGTTTAAAGTACTTTCTCAATGAGCTGATTCTAATCGTTTTTGCAATAAACAATATTTTTCTATTTTATGTGTGATAGTTAGATTCTGAAATTTTATATTTCTAATTCAAAAAAATGTAAACTATATATATATATTTTTTTTTTTTTCTGGACCAAACTTCACAGGGACATTTTGATCAGCGTTAATTAAAACACTCCAAAAAGTAATTTTGGGGATTGACTTCCATTTTTACACCAGATGTCCATCCTGACACAACCACAGCCCTCTGTGTGGAGCAGGGACCTGCTGTCTAGGGCGCCCAGGGGAGCAGATGGTGGAGGTTAAGGGCTCACGAGTGCAGCAAATGAGGGTGGAGACCGACAGGTGCAGGTGCTTCACCTATCCCACCCACATTTTCATGTCAGTACCGGGAGTTGAACCAACGATCTTCAGCTCACAGGGCCACCATCTGTGCCACCACTCCCCTATTTATATTTAAAATGCTTAGTTAAAATAATATATATATTTTTAAAGATCCACACATTTAGAAGTCATTAAAAACCCAAAGAGATCCCTGAGGATGACATACAGCTAAATATATTAAAATTTAAAGAAGCTAATAAGAAGTTACCCTTTTGTTACCGTTTTTAAACATTCATAAGTGAATGATTTAGAAATAAAATGATTTTTTATAAAAACTAGTAAATCATGAAATATAGTTCAGATAATTATACCTGTAGGTAAATATTTTACATCATTCGTCCCACCATGTAAAATTTAGATATTTTGTCAAGTAAAACAATTTCAGCCAAACAAAAACAAAGTTAACTGCACATTTTATTTTATTCTATGCAAGTAAAAGGATGCATCAGAAAAACAACTCCTGCTAAAGTTGTAAAAAAGCTGGAACAACTAAATTATTATAAGCAATTCACTTAGTGAAGTATTTAATTTAATAATTGTACTTCAGTAGTAAACTGATTTATAAATGAGTGTATAAATTACCTACTTGTGGAGAAATTACGTTTAAAAGAGGAAAGATGTTTATTGCCCTTTTCTAGTATTCAGTATAAATTTGTAATTTAAATCGACACCTAAATACATCTGAGCCCTCCTCAGACCCTGCGTCCACATATGGACATCACATTTTGGGTTGTGTAGACCACAATACTAAATTCTGCTCTATAAGATTCCTGATGTGTCCACATCTGTGGCCTTATACTGCCAGTGGTGGCAGAAGAGTAGAACACATTACATGTTGTATTCAAATGTCTGCAAACTCGTGCACAAGTTCAGATGGCAACTCCCGATCCAAACGTCGCCCAGGTAAAAAAAATAATCACCTTTCCTGGCTGATTCTTGATTAGATATATTATGAAGTGTT